CCCCCCCCCCCCCTTCACCCTCTCTCTCTTGTTTCATAATACCATACGTTACCCGATAATTAACAAGTATTTAGTGAGGCTGAGCTTGATATGAGATATGCAGATCGAGGAGATTTTTCGGCTTCGGTGGATAACAGCCTCCGAACTCTGCGTAATTCTTCATATCATACGAAAGCCGAATTCAGTAATTGTTTAATTTTCATTCAATATATTTCTCTAACTTGTTTAAAACACCCTTACCTCCTCCTAGACTTTTGTGAAAACTTTCGCCTGTTTCTACAACTAGTCGTCATCAAAAGATTTTTTTCCGTTGCAGATATTCCTCAAAAAAGGTGATTTCATTTATCAAGCAATATTTTTTGCGTATTCTTGCGTTTGTTCCGTTCAGTTTTAGCATGTAATTCGGCCATTTTGTTGAGTTCACTGATGCCAAAACAGCTAAGCCGCAACACGGCTACCTGGAAACAAGGTTGCGCTTTTATATTGGGCAATATGCTGGTATCTTGCCTACATCTTTTTAATATGGTAATCGCAGGGTGGTTATGACGAATTATTTGGGAGCGGGGGGGAGGGTTGAGCCAATCACAAACGGAGAAATATTTTGAATGAATGATAATCTTTCTGAGGACGGTTTTTATTTGCCAGAACTGAACGGCCAGACCATTCCAGTCGTAATGAGAATTTCACTTTTAGTCAAAACTATCCAGTCAGATTAGTCCTATCCTAAATAGTACCCAAGAAGCTGGGGTTTTTTTGCAAAATCTCTCGGAAAAGCCTGTTTCATTGTCAAAATGACTGGTCTGGTCATGATCTGGCCGGCCATTTCTGACTTTTGGAAAGCGCCATAAAACTGGACCTTTTACAGAGATTGTAAAAAGTCTAAAAAAAAGGAAATTTATAGACTTTTTATGAGAGTGCAAATCCTCCCCTCTCTCGGCCTTAGAAACGACTACGAAGTTGTATCCTCCATCCAGGGATTGGTAAATACCTATGATGGCTTATAAAATGCATTTAACATTCAAGGACGTACAAAATAAAACTTTATTTGTTACGTGTTTGATATGTCTTCATTTCTGGACCTTGTAGGTGAAGTTCACGTTTTCGTTTCCTGGCTAATTCCTCGCAACCGTTTTTGCCAGTCACTTTATGTGATCCGTTCTTGCCATTTCCTTGGAAAGTCATACTGGATGCGTTACATCCTCGCATTAATATCGAGTATCTTAACAATTCTAAAAGTAAAGCGAGTTTAATTTTAAGCATAAAGGATGGTTCTTTACGAACGCGAGGATCATTAGAAGAAAAAATATTGGAGAGATTTCATAGAAAAAACTCTAGCGATACACTCCTTATGAATTAAGCAACGGTAACCGCAATTAAAATGTAATAGTTCATATTCTACATGGTAAAGGACTAAAATGTTATCAGCTTAACTTTCTTCTAATTAGCTATGCTCAATGTAATGTCTTTCTTCCGTCCTCATCAATATCCCTTGTGCACAGTTCTTAAAACTTGTCACCAGGAAGACTTCGCATTCTTAAAGGTAGTTAAAGGTATTTTTAACAGGCCATTCCTAAGTTGCCTTAGAGCGAAGTCTTTGCTGTAGAAATAGTTTCGACATAAGTTACGCACTTGGCCTAATTTTGAAAGCGGGATGTTTGGAAATCGGACATGGCCTATAGAGTAAAGACATGATGACGTCACAGAAACTAAATTTGTAAAATTATAGAGTTGGTTGGCATATTAAGAAATAACAAGATGTAAAAAGCCCCCTTGCCAAAAATCAGTCTGTTAGTGCAATTTGTTGGGAGATATCATCACCGTTATGCGCCGCTGACTACATATAAATCCTTCTAAACAGCCCTGGGTAGTAAACGTTGCGATCCGAGCTAATCTTGGAAAGATTTGTGTGGATCATATAACGCTTAGACTGTTCACAGTCCCCAATTTTCCGTAAAATCGTCGAGATCGAGCGCTTCGGGTTTCGCATGCACTGCCATCTTGAATGAGTGTCAATTCTGCTTAGGTCGCCGGGACCGCTTAAAACCCCGACACCCATTGCCCTCGGTACATATGAAACCAAGATGGCCACCCTTACCTGTAAGCGCTCGGTCCTGACGATCATACGAAAAAATAGGGTACTGTGAACCGTCTACATAACGCTACTCCCCACCAGTTTGCACAAAATTGGCTAATTTTTGGCAACGGGGGGTTTTTACATCTTGTTCCTTCTGGATATGCCAACCAGGCCCATAATTTCACAACTTTCGCGTGACGTCACATTTCTTTTCTCTATTGACTGCATAATTAAACAGGTTTTAAGGATTTACGAACACTTGGACGTTATCACTTAGATCTCTAACATGCTTTTAGATTTTTTTTCAGAGGCTTATCAGAAAAACGTCATTTCTAATGACTTATCTTACTGCGCATGTTCAGGTAATGGACAGAACGGCACTCATTCCGCCACTCACTAAACGGCGTTACAACTGTACAGCCGTATAAGGTAACTTGTCGCGAAACATTAACAAACAATAGAATAATATTTTCCAGTGCAAAGCTGCTCTTGATGCCTGATTCAGTCACAGGTTTCTTCTGGTGATTAATCCTAGACCATATGTGGTTCTGTACTGGACTTCCTTCCAAATACAACTGGTGAAGGTGGTTTGTCGGTAGATACAACTTGGGTTGCTGCAAAAGCAACAAATATAATAACTCATTAGTAACCTTTATTTACTCCACACTTTCTAAGGTTCTTGAGTTTGCAGAATGTGGTGTGTAAGCTTTCCACGGTTTCAGTTAACCATGCAAAACCAAACCAGTGGCCTCCGGTACATGTATCCAAAGGTGACTCAGTTGGGCCAATGTTAGTCATATCTTTTTGATCGAGTGGATACGCGGTAAACGTTTAGTAATTATTGGTTGGTTTTACTCCTTTGGATTGTCCTTTGGATTTAATATTAATGTTAATATTAAACTTTTCTCAAATGTTTATTTGCTTCACCTTGGATTGGAGCTAACCCGCCCTCTTTCAGGAAAATCAGGTCTATCAACAACACACACACAAAAAAGACAAATATTTCGTTCATTAATAATGCTTGCCTTCCGCATTTGGCAAACAGTAATGCATGGCGAACGGTTGAAATTAAGTAATCTGAAAATGAAGTTTTAGTTGACAACTATCTTGGCCATTTTTAAGTTCAGCCGTAGCATTAGTTTACCAGCTGGCTTGCCAGCTCAATTGGTTTGAGGGCTGCACCGTCATCGCAAAGGTCAGGGCATTCTTTCCGCAACTGCATAAATTACGTCTTAAACTGTGACGATTTTTTTGCATTAATTTCTTCATCCCGCAGTTCCAATATATCTAATTAATACATTCATTATTGCAGCAATTTAAAGAGCTACAAAAACTGTGAATTGATACAAATACTTACGATGTCTATTTACACAAAGTATTGTTGTACATGTCAGATGAGAAGGACGATCGTTCTTTCGGTTACAAAGGTACAGTAGACCAATCAAAATGCAGATGCCTAAAGCCACAAAGCCGCTAATTGCAACCACTAAAATGATGTTGCTTTCTTTCTTGGATCCCATACCATAGGCTACGTCGCCTTCCGTGCCTGCGTGATTTGGTACTGCGGCTGTAGCAGGATCATGAGAAGTGGAGTTATTATTTGAGGGTGCACACTTGATGGTATTGACGTCATAGCGACACACTTGATTGACAGGCAGGTTGGTCTGATCAATGCATTGTTGTTCTTTATCTCCTTCTTTGCTATCGGCACAACACCAGGAGCATGGGTGGCAGTCGCCACTTTTAGCTCGGTAGTAGCTATATGGTAACATAAAAATGTGTCTGAATAAGTGTGTTGAGGTGTTAAAGGGATACAGTCATCTGATGCATTTGCGCATTAACTAACTACGGTTTCTTAGCTGATTTTCATATCACAAGAACTAAATTGCCAAATATGATAAAGTGGAGATTGAAGGATGTGTAAAAGAATACACAGGAAAAGGTTTCCGGTAAAATATCGAAGATCGAATGAAACACTTGTCATGATCAAAGCGGACTTCTAGATGTATTTGACGAGTATTTGATTGAGGGTTGAGGTAAACGCTTTTCAAAGTTGCAAAACTAGTGTCCAGGTAAGTGCGGTCCCAAAGCTGACCGTGTCCCTTGAAAAGGACAAGAAAAACTCTTAGTAGCCTCATGTTGGAGTGACTTATCTGCGTGTGCCCATCGTATTTACGTATCAAGAGGTGAGCCTCATATAAGCCTTGCTGTATCGGTTAATTTCCGATCCTCTCTTGACAAAAGAATGTGTACACGTCAGGAGCTCCTGTCCACGTGCGTTTAGAATAAGGTATATTTAGTAAAATACGCAATGGCAGAAAAAAAACTTTGGCGTTACTAGAGCTGGCGCCAAGGAATTTAAAATGGCGGGAACAGGGTTACCACTACAAATGACACGGGAATGACAATCTGATTCGCGCTCATTCATTTTCGCTCACTGGAAGTCGCGCATTTTTCCCCTGTAAATTAATTCAACGAAATGAACGTAATTCCTCAGTTCTCATGAAAACGAACCCTTTGTAAAAAATCTCAGCCATGAATCACTCTTATATTATCAGAACATCACTACTCACCCACTGTTACATTTCCCACATTTTGCATTTTTCGTCGCTGTGCAAGGACTAATAGTTTCCTCATTTGGGTCACAGATTGTGCATGGCTTACATGATGATATATCATGCTTGTCCGAGTAACTCTCGCCTTTTTGACAATGAACACACTCCACACTGACGTCAGCAGTGATACGTGAGCCGCACTGTGGGACGAGGCCCTGACCCGCGGGACACTCCGGGCAATTGAAACATTCACTTCCTGTCGGTTTCAGGATCGTAATTTGGTTCCATCTGCAGCTCCTTCCTTGTAGTGCATTTTGAGCAGATACCTAATGAATAATTAATTGGTTCGAATAAAAGAAACGAACAGACTCAAGTCCCGGAGAAAAAATGCAATATTATTACATATACAGTCTAAGACAAAAATAGTTCGCAAATTTCCACCGAAAGCTCTTTTTTTTACTTCTGGCCCGTCTCTACCGGTCCCGCTCTGAATGTTGTTTATCGCACTTGACTCACCAAATCTTGTACACCAACACTGGGAGGGCGAGGAGACAGTTAAGTCTCCCAACAATTTTGACTGATTGCTCCATGGCATGGCCACGCGTTAAATAATACGATAGAAAAAAAATACGATAGCAAAACTGCCGCGTACACTTCCAAAGCAGAACAAATGCGATACCTCCTCAGTTTATACATGTCACTGTTTATTTCATTTCCAACACCTGAGCTACAAACTAGAAAATCAACCCACCCCCCACCCCCTCTCCCACCGCCATCCTTCCCGGAATCAAACATTAAGCCACGCGAGGGCTAAAACGCTCATATTATCAATCACCTTTGATTTCGGGTTAGTGTGGTCTTAATTTTCCGTTTACTCTGTCCAAGATTGTAGTCCCCTATGCATGTAGTAACTTATTTGCCAGTCACGCACAGGTCCTCACAGCCTCTTTTGGGGCGGAAGTGTTGTCTAGCGAAACAAATAAAGGCTGCGTGACTATTCCTGAACTGAAATATGAGGAACTCAAAAAAGTCTCTCTTGCAAATGCATCTCCCCCTTGGTACTAGGATCAAATTTTCTGATCTCGCTTCAGAGTCGCAAAGAGCTGAAGCCTGTGTTAATATAGCGTGGGAGCTGCAGTACTGACCTTGCTGTGAAGCACTTAACCAGGAGCCCGGGGCTCCTAGCTGAACCTATTTTAAATTAGAATGTGTTCCACAGCAGTATGAACCTAGTAAATACATGGCCAACTTCTCCCCCCTTCCCCAACCTGTTTTCACTGTTTGCACTGCGGTCACTTTCGCCCACATAAAAATTATTGCGTTACTGTGAAAGACTGAACCTGATTTAAATGCGACATTTATTAATTTCACAAATACAAAGCGTCTGCTAAATATGAGACAAGTTTTCGTAAACATGACATCAAGACGTCTTTGGTAATCTGAGATTGACGTCTTCAAAAGCCTTTTAGGATGAAAAATGCCGTCAAAGATTTTAAGTCCGGCCGGGCTGAGATTTATGCCTTGTGGTAGTAACCAAAATGCAAATTTCTTGCCACTCGCTACCTATTGAATCTGGGCGCTACAAGAAGATACCCAGAGTTGAGAGGCTTTGCCCCCATTGTAATAGATCCGAAATTGGTGATGAATTCCACTATTTGTTGAAATGTACCCACTCTTCACTTTCTCATATAAGGGGTATCTTCTTGGAGAGTCTATACTCGATAAACAGTAATTTTACGAATATGTCTTGCAAGGCACTATTCGTATATGTCATGTCCATATGCGATCAAAAAATCTTAAATTTCAGTGCCTCTTATATTGAAAATATTCTAAATTGTTATGCATCCGAACTCTAATTAAACTTTCTTAATACGAGTAGCGTAGAAGCGGTACGTAGCCAAGTAATTTTTTTTTTCTTTTACGATAATATTCAACTGTTCCTTTCTTTCTTACTTAACTTTTATTTCACTTTTTTTTTTCATTTGTTATTGTTTTGGTACTGAAATCTTCATGTCGAAGATAAAGTCAATAAAGTTGTTGTTTGTGATCTGCTCAAGCTCTAAAATGTATGGTATTTATAGCGACATACCACATCACCTGCAAAAAGGAAGTGACGTATATATAGTGATTTCATTGTTTGATCTCATTGCGTCATCTGTCGGGGGTTTACCCAGTATCAAAGGTCGACAAGCCGGATATAGAAAGCGAAAGTGAGCTTTTAAATGCCAATGACATTATATCACTTTCGTTTACAATTAATCATTTATAGAAATTCTCGAAGTTTCGTATGTTTTGTGTGGTGTATTATTAAAGAGACGTGTCTTGAAAATTCGGTCCCCTTTCTTAACGTAAACTAGAATTATGAAGATTTGATAAGTGATATAGCCGGTGAGCAAAATCGCCTCTAAGAGAAAGACAAAAGTGAAAGAGAAAGAGAAAGGACAAATTGTTAAGGTGCCAGAAAACCCCCATAAAACCTTAATCGTTTGTATTTGTTTTCGTTTTTCTTTTCATTTGTTTTGTTTCCTTTTGTCCTTTTGTTTTGTTTTTTGTTTTTTTTTTCACTTTTTTAGTTGAGAATATTAGCCCAAGGCTTTAGTCTATTTCTTTCTTTTCCTCAGTCAAAGACACTCTTTAACACTTTTCGTTGCAATAGTCAACTTTCAGCAAGCCCGCAAGTCCATATAATGCCATCAACCTGTCTTCATCAGAATATTCTCGCTTGCGAGTGTTGTGACACTGACATCTGCGTGGGAGACAATGGTGCCGACTGTCATTGGGACCCATTGTGAGTACATAATGCGTGATGCATTTACATATTGCACTAGTTAACTCAGTGATATTTTTAACAACTTACCATGTAATCTCGCGTATAAAAACAGGAAAAAAGCACTAGCAAAACAAACAGGTTTACGTTGAGAAGTGTATCCATTGCTTTGCACTGTCCCGCACAACCTAAAAGTATTTCATGGGATAGAGTTTAGCAAGGTAATGTTCTTCTTCCTTGCTTAAATTTTTGACTATTTTGTGCTGCGAAAAAAAAGGGTTAATCAGGAGCCCGGGTAGTCACACTATAGATTGCTGTTACGTTGCACTGACTTAAATTCATCGCACACACTAAGGTGGCCTGAAAAAGAAACACTGTAATACCAGCTTGGATATGGATAACTGTTTCTACTCCTTTGTTATTACATATGCCGAGAAAACTTGGAGCCCATCTAAGCCCATGTGCCTTTTAAAACATTACTATCAGCAACCCACACCAACACAGCCTCCACTCCTTTCGCCTGCACCAACCTCCCCCCTCCCCCGACCTATTAAAGGCAGAGGTCCGACATCGCCAAATGTTATGCATTGATTCTAATTTTTTTAATAGTCCGCATCTGTGAAGGAAACAAAAGCAGAGCTCCTGAGCAGAGCCAATTGACGGCACTGCAATGACGTTTGAAAACCACAGATATCCGCAGCTCCACTGAAGGTTGCCTATTTTTGGAGCATATTTCTAGTAAAAAGAATTCTATAAATCTTAACTGTAAATTTGCATTTATTAACTATATGGTCGGTATACATACATTGCTGTACTACCATAAAAAAAAGCTTAATGTAGGCACGTGAAGAACAGAAAGCTGTTGAATTTTCTCTTGAGTTTCTTAAAGATATCGCTGCAAAAAATGTCCTTATCCTGCAAAGTTACATAAAACCTGCCCTTATACATGTCCAATCAAATTTTGCGGTTACAAATTTGCGCGTATAACTAAATTTTCTGTCTCTTAGCAGCTTAGCTTATTCAGCTTTAAAATTTCTTGTGCTAAGAGATGTCACATGTGGGACTCTGGTCTTGAAAAAAAGGAAAGAAATCATCAAGATATGCTTTGTTCACTTTATGCTGACTAATGACATTGCGAAAGGAAACGGGTAATGCAAGGCTAAATCTATCCCTCACGTACTATGCATGCCCAGTAAAGAAAAAATGGCCGCTGCTGAACTATACTCACCAAAAGTCTCTTGAGGAGGAAAGTTCCTGTAGAAGCAGCGAATTAACAAGGCAATTCCCTCGGTTAAGAAGAGGCAACGTAAGTTCTCTAACATTCGACAAACTATTTGTCTGACTCAAAAGGGAAAAACCCCCCACACACTCAGAATCTGAGGAATGCGAGATAAGTTTGTCAAAATTGATGACGACATCTTTCATACTGCATGAACCGTGTCTCAGCCACGACTGGCAAAAACATTCGTTATCAACAGGTTATAGGCTATATAACTCTTCGGTGCTTGGGCAAGTTGAGTTGAAAAAAATATGAATTGAAAGTTTTCATTGACCAGTTAACCGGAAAATAGGAAAAATGACAAATAATACCAATAAATGACCCATCCTAATTCATTGTACCAACTAAACGGCATTTCTTTGAGATCAGTTCAAACAAAGAAACGGTCACGTGAAAATAGTTACATCATCCTGCGGTCCTCAAATTGCACCATCACCTCAAGATTGAACTAATTCACTTATTCTCTCTATATCATACACTCGCCTCCCTAGTCGAGCGTCGGGATCGATTAAGTATTTATAAGATGATAACACTGACGTCTTAAGATCAGGAGAACAGATCAAGTTTCTCGAATTTCAGACTTTCGGGGCAAAGAGCAAAACGTGGCGGGAAATTTTAAGGAGGTACGTAAATAATAATAAGAAATAATGTTTTCTCAGTCAGTCCAAAAGTACGTATAAGCTCACTTGAGTCCTCAATAAATAGATTGAATTGTCTCCTTTTCATATGCTTTCGCGGGTTTTTTTCTTTTAGTCACCCAATACTAAAAAAGGGAAAGCCGGTAATCCGTAAAGAGCCTGACTCGGACGAAAAATCCTCAAGGCGCATTATGCGTCCATAGCCAGAAGAACTACCTTTCTTAGTGCGTCGCTCAAGACCCATTTCGAAGGAAAGTTTTCGCATTATAAGTCTGATCTTGTGCCCGTCTTTATACTTGAGACGCATATCCAGGCGAACTACAAAATTTTTGCCCAAGTTCGTCCAGACGGATAATACGACTGTAGTATGTGGCCAATGTGGCCAATATTGTTTTATATTGCGACTAGTAGGGCCGTTACTAAAAAGGGACAGAGCAAGTGTAAAAAAGTATGATAACAGCTCTAGATACCTAAAGTCGTTAATCTGATAATAGTATAATATTATAACGGCTACAGACATCAGCTTTCCTTTTAATACGACATAAGTTCTTTATGCTCGCGTCACATCTTATTATTTATTATAATATTATTTTATTATTATTGCGAAAACCACACAAGAGGAATGTGCTGAAAAAGCACATGCATAACTTGGTCATGCGTCTATGCCTACAACAAGCGCATATAATTAAGTTTTGCAATTCTTGCTGAGTCAGTAATATAAGATTTGGCTACGCAACGCCGGTACCGGCATTTCGTCTAGACTCGCTCACTCTGTTAATCCAATCTGCTAAACGTCTTCATCAATCACTTGATCGTCGTCCATTACAGGAACGAATTAATATTATTATCACCACTGACACAGACCTCTGTATGTTTGATAGCTCAAGACAGGGAGATCGGTGATATTTTGTCATCTATGAAACCATGTTGATGATGTCAATGATGTTTTCGCAGGTGAGAAGTTGTAAGGGTATGAACACTAAAATTAACCATTAACTAATTTAAATAACAAGATAGGCTATGATGTAAATTTGATCAGAGTTTTTTGGAGAATAAAGTCGGCAATCAAGGAAGTGTAGCCATCGAAATAAGAATGCAAGAGCTTGAAACATGACGCAAGCTCCCACTCATTCATACAGTGACTCTGCCTCCTCCGACCCCCCTGCGAACTACACAGGAATGTACGGAGCCAATGGGGATGTTTCAGTTTTGGTCTAAAATAGATCAAAAGTTTTTTGCTAGTAAAACCCTAGCTAGCACGTACTTAAAAAGTATGTTTAAAACGTGTTCAAGTTAATTTCCAGTTCCATCGTCGTTGAGAATCGTCGTGGTGAAAAATCGCCTTAAAAACAGGCTAGAACTGACAAGACAACTGATGGCAGAACTGATGGCATTTAAACACATTCAAGTCAAGCATTTGGGAATCAAATCCTGGAACACAATTTTCGAACAACCCTTCATGTCCTTCATTTTAACTCGATTTTTATCTTTAGTTTAGCTGACGTCACGGCGGCTATGCTGGTTGACAAGAACAATTAAATTAAAGTGTTTCCTTCCGCTGGGAAAAAACTCTTTTTTCATGCAAATTCTGCAAAAAAAAAAAAAATTCTGCCACGTGGTTGCAAACCAAGATATGATAGTGTTTTAGTTATTTTGCAATTAGTTAGCTCGAAGAAATTAACAAAATTGCTACTCTGTAAATTTCAATTCTTGACTTTGTATGCTGAAGAGGTAACGCAATTTCTGATAAGCTAGTAGTTTTGATTGTGGCCCACAAATAACGACAGAAACAAATAACATTGAAAATATACATAAAAATTGAAAATTCCAACTACCCGGAGGCAAGCTATGTACTTGTGGCCGAATAGGTGAACTTTAGCCACTAATGAAAACAAATCAAGCTAGCGGTCAAAGAAGAATTCGGGGCATCGGGCCGATAGCACTGAAGTCCAGCGCAACCGCTCAGCGTTTATTTCAACTGAAAAATTCGAGATTGGTTACACATAGTTAATAGAGTTAAATTGTTAGACTATGAAGCCCGTCAGACTCGTTTGTTAGATGTTTTTGTGAACTTGACGATGCGCAACGTTCAGTAGCATCGCTATGGGTAGTATCATTTTAGTCCGTCACGATTAATTTGTGAACAAAAAGCAAAGGATTGTGAACCGTCATGAAGTCCAGTCCACTACGAGCAAACGGACGTAACAACTCCCATGAACATTGTTGACCCAACAATGTTGAGAGTTGTTGCGTCCGTTTGCACGAGCTAAACGTTTGATCGGTTTCGACAAACCTTATGCAACAACCCCAAACAACACGCAACAGGGTGTCCAAACGGACGCAACATGTAACATCCAACAATGACAACAATGTTGCGTCCGTTTGCAAGGGGCTATAAACTACAGCACCGTTGTTTTTATCTTTGATCTATAGTTTGCGCCTTTCATAACCACTCTCCTCCAATATGTAAGACTGTGAATTACATTTAAAAAGGCCTGATGAGATATCTGAAAAAAAATAACCGCTGTTTTTTGGGCAAAAAATTTCTCGCAACATGGAGTGCGAAATTGCACAATTGTTTTATTGTTTTATTATCATCTTGCCATGGCACACAATATACATATACAATTTAAAAAACAAAGATGAGGCAAGGCAGCCCAAGGAACTATAACCCTTTTGTGTATAGGACCACCTTTAAAATCATGTTAATTAATTAATAATTACAATATTGACATCGGCAATTTAACTCTCGTACGCACAATTTGTTTGGAACAAAACGAAGCGTTCAATTGCACTCATTTCTCAACTTGTTTCTTTGTATATTTACTTTTACAACTGATAAACATATAAATCCAGCCGAACTTTTGAAAACGCGTTACCACCAAATAAGTCACTGAGCAGTTTCTTTGCGAGCCAAAAATCTCCGAACGTCGCTCAGAATGAGTGGACATCTTAGTTATTCATTACCACTGAAGCAGCAAACTCAAATGCACGAGCGCTTTGAACAAGCTCCAATTATAAGAGAAGAAAGGGCTTCTTTTGGCCCACCAGCTTTGATAAAACTCACTCGCGCGACTTCGTTAGCTCCAAAATGACAAACCATTGATGGAATTTTTAAAAATGAATCATTCATCAAAAAAGATAAGCATTTTACTTAGCAGAGAGAATATCCCTCTGAACTTGAAAATTGCTAAAAGAGGGCATTTTTTGTATAGAAGCTGACTTTAAGCGCGATTTTCTGGAAACCAGCAACAAAATCCACTATCCCTGCGAGTTTGAAAAAGTGTGGTAGAAACTTAGCGTATCTAAGGTCAGCGAGCTATTGTTTTAAATGCAGGCCAGGTACGAATAACAGTGGCTGCCAAGATTAACAATACGCTATTGAAAACCAATCACTTGAGAAGCATGTTATAAGTTGGTGCAGCGAACTTTAAAAGGTATTGAACCGGTCTCGCGTATGCGCTTCATCGGCATAATGAATAAAACGAGTAAAAGTCAGAAAGTATCGCCGGGGAGGGAGCGGGAGCTCCCTTCGGAGCTCAATGAACCCCCGACCAATCCACCTCTTAAGATTGATCTTCACTGACGCGTAAGTTTACCGTGCGAACGCGCGTAAATGAAATAGAGGCAATGCATGAAAGGCCACCCGCAAGAGTGACAGTTGAGCAACAGGCATATGTATATATTTAACTTGTTTACTATTGGTAAGTTTTGGTTCTGTGACTATTATCTTTCCAGATGATCAGTGTCGTGGAAATTTGTTTGGTGGCTTCATTTTTTATGATCTCGTTAATGATAACACCCGCAGAAGCAAGATGTTCTCCAACCGAGGAATTCACTATGTTTGACCCAAACAACCAAAGTGCTGACACATGCCAAAGGTGTCCAATATGTCCACCTGGAGAGGGACTTACAAAACAATGTGGTTCCAGAATTAAGAATGGAACTTTTATTGGCTGTCAGAAATGTGGAAATGGAACGTACAGTGACCATTATGACAGATCATGTAAGAGTTGTGATCATTGTGACCTTAGGATTACGGAAAGGCCGTGCACGGCAAAGCAAAATAGCATTTGTTCCAAAAAAGACTGCAAAGATGGCTATTACATGGATTCTACGGTTGACGGCTGCCTAGAAACACCGCGGACAAAGACTAGCACTGAGTCAACAGTTAGTTCTATCAAGAAACCGATAACGTTAACATCATTGCTGTCGAAGAGCGGAACCCCAAAACCTACAGTATCTACTAAGCCAGCAGAAACTACAGGGACAGTTGAACCAGTTGGCAGCAATGCAACTTACAGCAACATTTCTACCAAAGCAGTGTCTCAGCCTATGAATAGCACTCCAGATCACAGACTTAACCGCGCGGTAATCATTGGAGGAAGTCTTGTTGGAGCCCTATTGGTAATTTGCTTGATCACCTTCATTTCAGTCAAGTTCAATCTATGCAGAATACTTTGCTGTATTGGGCGTGAGCGTGAAGGTTTAGAGAAAGGTAAGAGTACTTCAGTAAAGACAGATTATTCCTTTCCAAGTTTGCTCCTTGTAAGATGAGTTGTCGTTCTGATGTTTCTAATCTCCTGGGAGGGATTTACTTAGTACAGTTTATTTCTTAGATATTTTTTAGAGTATAAGATCGGAACAAACAATTTGCATTTTTTTTGTCCAATTTTGCTTTGGCCACTAGGGCCCCTCTAGACAAATTTTGCAAATTGCTCATCCCATTCAACTAAGGTTCAAATAATGAGTCAAAACCGTTCCGTTTTCGGCGTCTTTTTTTTAACTTCTCTGTTTCTTTCTTCCTTTTATCTCTTTAGCCATGCAAACTGGTAGCATAAGTTTAAATCTTATCTGATTATCATAGGGAGGTTTTTATTTTGATTGTGAATTTCTTTCCTCACCTTATCATTTTTTGTGTGTTCAGGCTGGCTTTTCAATTTAATTTTAAATGGTAAGGATTTAAAATAACAAGTATGATAACGCCCTTATACTGCTTCCCAACTCACTTTTTTTTACAGGTGAAGAACTGCCACTAACTCAATTTGAAGCGGATCACTTGGGCGACAAACCCCCCTATGGTATCTGTCAGTCTCACTATTATGCAGGGTGTCTCTCAACCCCCTTATTCACGTAAACATAACGTTCCACATCATAAGTTTTCTTCTCGAAATATCATCATGATCAACCGAGTAAAATATTGAATCATAACATAAAGACATAACATAGTAAAATAATTGTAAGTCGTTCTATGCGATAGGATAACAACTATGATCAAATTTCTACAGTATATTAAGTCAAGTTTGCATAAAGAACTTATTGAAAATCGTAATTTGTCACATCTAGTGCTGAACACTCCAGCACCGAACCATCATTCATCTACTCATGGGAATACATTTTAACCAAAAAAAGATGTTAGTTGATGTTGAAGGAGTGCACTCCCTGGACATGACTTGTTTCTGTTTTGTTTCTTCAGTCAACTGCCGTGATCATACAGCCTAAGCTTAATTGGAGAACCCTGATATTTAGCCTTCCTTTCCATTTACTAGGCTGTGTACCTTAACGTGATACAATCAATCAATTCAATGTATCAAACCTAGCCTGTGATGCAGCCATTCAGACAGGCTAATAAACCACATCAAAAAATTATCTTACAGAATCTCTGGTGAGAGATGCAATTGTAGCAAATGTTAACGTTATGGATGAGCTCGCTCGAAGGTTGGATCAACCTGATCCTAATTCTCAGTACTGGGAGCATCTTGCCGCAGAATTTGACGTGCCGGAAGATGTTAAGATGAAATGCCAGCACAGTCTCGAAAATAGTCCAACAAAACACATGCTGGATATTAAAGAGGCCGAAGATACTAATGATTTCTCAGTCCAAAAGCTCAAAATTGGACTCGGAGCCATCTCCAGAAAGGACCTTGTGCAGAAAGTGGAAAAATGTCCTCTTAGTAAGTTCTGTTAGGAATTGCAGTTTGCTTATGTATTGGTTACACATATCTCAAAAATAGCGAACTCTAAAGTTCAAAAGCCGCCTTCACAATTGCGTTTTTCTTTGCCCTCAATCATAATAGACCTCTTTAGCTTGTATGTTTTGTTTTCTCAACGCAGGTCACGTGATAATACTCTAGAGAACCGTTTTTCTTTTCAAATTTCGTCTTATTCACGTGCATATCTACACATAATTTATGAAAAGACAAAGGGTCAAGTTCCCCTGGGACCTCTATTGGGAAAACAAAACATACAACCTATAAAAGCAACGAAACTTAAAACACAGAAACACACAAAACGAATCGAAATCCACCAATCACAAACTACAAACCATGACCTTTTGAGCCTGTTGAAGTAAACTTCTGTTTCCTAAGAGGTCCGCCAAAATAATTGATGGCAGAGAAGAACTTCAGAATAGAGTTTTAAAGTGTGACGTCATGAAAAATTAGATATCCCGGAGAAATTATGGGATTTGTCAGGATATTCTTAAAGAAGAAGATCCAAGAGGCCTACTTGCCAAACTAGCATTGTGGGACAAATTGTCTCTGAGATATTAGCCCAGTTATGCTCTCTTATGCAAACTAAACTTCCGTACTTAATTCATCAGTTAGGTTCGGCACATGTGTAGAGCGGCAACTGAACCGGGCCTAAGGCTAGGAAACCTGCTGAGTTCTGTTTAATTCAAAATTAAAGTCTTACAATGCGAACCGTGAAGGTCCCAAGCGTTCACGCTTTCGTCGAGCTACCCTTGAGAGTGTCGTCGCCATAATTAGATTATACTTCACTAGCCTATAACGTATTCAGTGATGACACCCCATCTAGCCTACGACCAATGTTTGCTAAACTGACCATTTCATTCGCTTGACTAAGCAATGTAAAGATTTTCAAAGGTGGTGGAACATTACATTTAACTCTCCGGGAATCTTAGACAACCTTCTGACTCAAATTATGTAAAAAAATTTTATCCTTACAGGCACTGGATCAATACAAGAACTCCGTGGAAGCTATCCGGACACTTTTGAGACCATTTGTCTACAGCTGGACCACTACGACAACTGGAAACCTTTAGGGCGGAACATCGGTATTCCAGATGAAACACTGCGACAAATTGCAACTTCTACCAGCTGTGCGAAGACAGTCGTTGAGTCCATCGAAAAGAAAAACCCTACACTGACAGTAAAGGAGATGCAAGATGTCTTGAAAGGAATGAAAAGAAGAGACGTGTGCGATGTGCTGCACAAGTATCTCCGAGGTATCCGTTTGTACTAGAGTGGAAACGTGGAAAAGAGGGATATGAGACTGGGTCATAAATGAATTCTTATTAACCTCTTAGCCTTCAATCTTTATGCGTGTACAAATGGAACCTTGCCAGCCTCAAAATAATAGCTTTTTTTGCATGTGTGGTAACAAAAAACATTTAATGCCGATTTACATTAAGGTATTTTCTTGTGTGCTGGGTAAAAACGAATTCTGACCATTTAGTCAGAGAGTTTCCCGTAATCCAAGAAAGTCTTGGATTCTTGATTCCACGTTCTGGATTCCGGATTAAAGGTACTGGGGCACGATTCTTAAAAGGTCCGATAATTGACGGGGCCGTAAAGCTGCTGTCGGTCAGTACATACAAGATAGAGGTTTCAATAGCTTTGCATCAAACTATCAGGAGTAATGAAGCAAAATGGAGTAGTTTGGTAGCCAGGCCTCGCGCTCTCATTCTTTATATTTCGAGTTGAATATTTGAATTCGGGCCCGAAAAATTACGGGGACTTTTGAGAAACGGGCTCCTGGCCCCGGTTGTTCAAAAGTTGGATAGTGCCATCCAGCGGATGAGCATTAGGGAAACTAATTCCGTTATCCACTGCATAGTGATTTATCCAGTGGATATAAGCCGTAGCTACTGGGGAGGCAAGGGGGGCAGCTACCCCCCCCCCGGACCTGTTGAGCCAGACACATCAAGTCTTTAGATGGATTTGTTTCCTTTAGACTCAGTCATTTTGATACAAGTGACTTGCAATTGTGTGCGATTTTCATATTCGAGGTCGATTTTTCGGAGACATATCTCATGACAAGTGCTGAAAAAAGCATTTCGGAGCTTCCAAATTTGAAAATTTTCTGGGGACGCATACCCAAGACTCCCCCGCCCCTACAAGGCTTGTAGCTTGGGCTCTCGCGATAATACCCCTCCCCCCGCGTCCCCCCGTTACAAAAAACCTAACTTCCGGCCATGGGATAGCGCTATCCACCTTTTCAACAACTGGGGCCAGGATGCCAGATTCCTTGTCAGTGAAACTTCCGGATTCCAATCGTTAGGGAGCCGATTCCGGCGCTAGCCCTGACTCGTCCCCAGTCGTCCTCGCGTAACGCGCAGTGGAAGCAGGGGGTGATGGGAAGGGAAAAGGAAGGAAGTCTCTCTCCCTCGCTTTTCTCCTTCCCGTCACATCCTTCCACGCCACTAAGGAGAGACAGAGAGAGAGACGACTGGGGACAAGTCAGGGGCTAGCCTGGTACCACAAGCATAAATTTGCAGGATTTTGGAATCTGAATTAACTTAAATGGCAATTACTGTAGTAATTTTGCTTTGCTTGACAAGGTTCTCTATTAATTATACCAGGCTCCTGATTATAATTAGTTCCTGTGTACCTTAAATGTTTTTAATCAGCTATCATGATTTTGCTTTGTTGGGAACAGGCCTATTGAGATGTCACCCAATTTAGCCTGTTCACAGCCAAATCAGGATCAACAATCAATACTGTATAGTGCATAGTTCTCACGGGTTCCCAACAGATAATCAAATACACCCGTTTTACGATTTTGTAAAGGAAAATATTCTTGTTGTCCGTCATTTATCTCATGGCGGTTAACATTATTACTACCGCCCAAAACTGGAGGTGATATAGGGATATACGAAAAATGCATTTCAGTAAAACTTGCAACCGTGTGAAATTTTCTAAATTACATTAATTGATCGATTAATTGCGAATATACTTTCTCATTTTGCAGATAACGACACAATTGTAACTCTGCGTGCAAATCTAGATTGTTTAGAAAAGGTAGCAGTCTTGCTGGATAAAGAAACACCAGGAATGAAAAACTGGTTACATTTTGCCCATGAGCTTGGTGTCTCTAAAGACGAATGTGACAGTCTAAAACCAAAAGAAAGGCCAAGTCCAACCAGAGCTTTAATGAAATACATCGTTCAAGTTGATCCAGACCTCACAGTCGAGAGGTTTACGGATGCCCTGGAAAAGATGCAACGAAAAGATGTCGTCAGTGCCTTGAAAAATAAAATTAGAGGTAATACACATATTTAATGGTACTCGAAGTAGAGCGCACTCCAAATACATATAAAGGTGCGTACACAAGTAAATTTTACGCGCGTAAAGGAAATAGAGGAACTGTATTAAGTGTTGCTCGTAAACGTAAAAGTTGAGCGAGGTCAGTCAACTTTAAAGTCCTCGCGGAACTTCCATATATTGCTTCAAGAGCCATAATGGCTCTTGATTGCCTCTATTTCATTTACGCGCGTAATATTTACGTGCGCACGCACGTAAAATTACGCGAAAGTGGAAATCCACCTTTATAGTGAGATAGGTCGAATGTCATTGATTGATTGATGAAAGTATCTTGGGACAAGTATTTGGCATTCCCGCAGAAGGGGCAAATGACATCACCAACTTACCGAAGAAATCCTGTGCTGCGGATACGGGGATTGTGATTGGTCGATCGCTCTCCGAAACTTTTTGTTAGTTGTATTTCTTTATCAATGCCATTCCCTTGTTTTACTGTATAATTTATATTTTGTTTTATGATTGATTGTTCTTTATTTGACGGTTTTGCTTCATTTTTTTGCTCTGCTTCAATAGCCAAACAAGACGCGAAGGAGGGTCCGAACATTAGTTGCCCTGCATCGAGGAACGAGTCATAAGCTATTAATTGAGGACCTGGAGCTATTTTTCGAACCTCGTTACCCGTCCTGGTTTCGCTAACCGACCTAACTGCATATCCATTCATGAATCCCAAGTACCATTGACACCATATCAACACAAATGAGGAAAACAGAAGTGTCATCACTAAAAGGTACCAAAAGGGACACATACAAGAGTCCTCATAAAAGAGGTGCCCGTATCATTATGGTTTTGGTGGTACGAAGTTTAGCATCCTGGGGACCAGGAAGCTATTATGTGAGAAATGGAAAACTGTAAAGGAGAGGATCGGTTGATATGGACAAGGTCCTAATAGCATTTACCAATTTGTGGCAAGCCGCAGCACAAAAACAATCTTTAGGCAAGAGTGATAGGGTGCCGTGAGTAATGGGAGAGTTCGTCGACACGTCTTGCACCTATATAGAAGTTACGATGTAGCTCGCATTATAAATTTCATCTAGCCTGATAGGATTGCGTAGAAAGCAAATCTGACAGATCAATATTACATGTTTAGAAACCTTAGATGCATTTGGACAATGCATCTTACTTTTTACTTACTAATCTTACTATATAACCATATCTCAAATTGAGACTCCCAGTAAGGCACTGGGTGCCACCTGCTTTGATTGATTAGCCCTTTGCGTAAATTTTAACCGAATTTGCCAAAAAAATTTCATATGTGGATTTCTTTTCAGCTACTTCTGCTACTATTATCTTTTCGTATAACCTAACAATTTTTGGACATTAAAAAGATCTCCTAGTTTTCAGCCCCCAAATTAAAGTGCCAATTCAGCGCTGCACGTCACAATCTGATTTAGCCTCTTCTGGAGCCATTTGGGCACAACTTAAGCCAAAACAACCCCTTCAAAAGCCTATTCCAGTCCATACTGAGGCTCATTTCAGCCCGCGGGGTCCAAAATCAGCCCAGGTAATTGGACTGTATTGGCCCTGGTTAAAGGAGTCAAATTATGTATTTACATTCGGCGGAGCTAAACGTAGTGGCAGTGACAGAGAATGTAAATAGTTTGCTATTGGTATGAACGCACGTGAACCGCTGTGGCGTTTCTCATTGACTCTATTGTTGTTAGGTATATAAGGTTTTGACAGTTGTAATGTATTCATCTATCGATTGATTTTTTACCTCTAACCTCTAGAGGTTGTGCGACCGCATCGGTTGGGGAATACGTTCCCAATTTTTTCCCATTGGGTTTTTGGGTTTTCGTATCAGGCGGCGCACTTGAATAGTGTAGCCTGAGTGACTTTATTTAGGAATATTTGTATATCATTCTTTAGTTATGATGTTGAACTTTGTATATTACTAACTTGGACTGCACTATATATAAACACTCAGGCTCCAAAGTTCGAGCTGCACACCTATTCCTGTTTTTTCAGGTCGTGAATATAAAAAGGAACAAAAAATAGAACTGTATTTCACTAACCGAAACGGCCCCATTTTTAGAGCTAAAACAGTTTTTTTTGATTTACAGTGTAGAGCTTAACAGTAATCCGTGAAACTGCTAGCTATGAAGCTACAACTTGTCACACGCTCAAGACACTACACCCGTATCAGACCCAAAATTTTGTTGTCAGGTGTCGCATGATTCAAGGGTATAATTTTCTCAAGGGCGTCTACTATTTTGCAGCTGCTTAAAGTTCTAAATAAATACAAATTAACCCTTTGAGTCCCAAGAGTGACCAAAATCAATTTTCTCCTAAAACAATCAGTACTTGAATCGTTGGAAAAGTTTCAGGAGAATTTAAAGAAACAACCCTAATGGAAAATGCTTTGATATGATTTTATCGAATAAATTATCCTCAGCTCTCGAATAATTTTTTTTAGGAAATGTATGGAGATGAGTCTGGAGAATTTGTATGTGGCTATTAGTGGAACCTGAAGGTTTACAGTGTAAAGGAAATTGAGATCTTAATGCATGTACAACGTTATCCTTCTAAAGAAATTTAAATCTCTGGGATACCAAATTTTCCTCGGAATTTGCCAGTCAAATTCCAGGATGTTACGTGAATCTTTCAGTTTAGTATGGAGGTGTATCTATGTTTAAAGTACTAGTCAATAAATTACAATCAAAAAGTGATCGCTGACTTAGCCTCCCCGCAGACGTCCTTTGGGGTTCGTTCGTCACGCATTTATTTCTCTCCTGTATGTTTGACGAACGAACCCCAAAGGACGTCTACAGGGAGGCTATCGGTGACTGTGATTTGATCGGTGACCAGCCTCAAAGCGCCAGACAAAGGCCCGGTCGGGTGGACTTTAACTGTATTTTTCCACCATAGCACTGCTTTAGTACTTTAATGTTTACACTTTTAGCCATTTATATCAATTATAAAAAAGCCTGTCTCGTATCACTTTTAAGCATAAATTTCATAGAAATTGCAGATTTGCTAAAGGCATTCATGACATTTAATAAAAGTTGTTTTTTTAAGTGCAAGTTTTTTGCCTTCTCTTAGGGATATTATAGAAATGGAAGATTTGATATAGGCATTTATGACATTTAATAGCAATTGCTGTTTTTAAATACAAGTTGTTTGCCTTCTCTTAGGGTAAGCAATAAAGAGTTTGCAGGTTTTTAATACTGTTCTTAAAATCTCATTAACAGTTTTAATGCAGCTGTTTAAGCTCAACTGGATCAAAACATCCACTCTCTCTCCTGGTCGTTCGCACCTTTATAAGCCCTTGCAAACCCCTCACGATTTCGTATAAGTTCAGTTCTACAATAACTACGAACCAAGATGTATGGTACGCGGAAAATCAAATGTGGGAGCCTATGTGGGATTGCTGTTTGATGTACCTCTTCCTTTCAGTTAAGTTGTATGCAAACCTCTTTTTACATTTGAAAAGCCTTTCTTGCGGTCAATTCTCCCTTACGTATTCAAATGCCACCGAGAACTCCGTTCACATATGACATCTCATGATTATATCGAAAGTGAAAGTAGTTATTCATGACATTACTTTCGTTTTCAGAGCACGTACAGGGATTTCTTTCACTTGACCTTTGTCCTGCAGCAAATATTTACCTTCAGTTCTGCTAAATATAATGATGATATGCGTGAATGTCCATCGCAGCTCTCTAACCAAAAACGTTATGATTTTTTTAAGCAGGTTTGAGAGGAAACGACAACCTGTATCGATTTCTGCGAATATTTGTGCGCCATTCACAAAAGGCTTGGTCTTTATTAAACAACTCAAGCCTCTTCTCACTGTCTTGTTTACTGTAGGCGAAACTGAAGGCGATCGATTTCCGACCCCTGCGTCGAAGCAAGAGAGAGATTCTTTTCATTTAGAAATTTCGTTTATATGGCCTCAAAAAGACTAAAATCGTCCGCTAAAATTGTTGCATTTTTTCTGTCCTCATCCGGGACACTTTAAATGAGAAGCCGTGTATCTCCTCTTCGACAATTAAAATATAACCCCACGTACGATATTAGATATTAAAGTGGACCCAAAGTGCAATGGTTATGAAGCCCGTAAACCGTCTTTGGGTCTTTTTGTAATATATATGTATGTTTTTGCTGGCTTTTTTGGACTTGACCACATGAAGTAACATTCCTTTGATTTTAAACTTACTAAACTTACAAAAACATCGCATTAATTTATTCAGCCAAATTTTTATGAACAAAAATGGGCACGTTCCCAAAATAATCTGCAGCACTTTTGTTTCCATCTTTGATGTTTGCCAGCTTTTATAACCAGTCTCCTTTACTAACTATGGTCCCAGCAATGTTTTAAATATTCGCCTTGCTTTAGTTTTCCGACTTTCATAATCAGTCTCCTCCCTCGCGTGTCTCCCTCGCGCGTGCCCGTTCTCTCTTTCGCCCACTACTTCCAAGCACCTGCTACGCAGGCTACTACGGTTCTACCAATGTTGTAAAATATTAGTCAGGGGGACTCCGGGCAGGTGAGGTAACCCGCTTAGGTGGGGTAACCCGCCTGTCCACATAATCTCTCATTTTAATTTGATCACGTAGGGTGGCCCGCCACGTTACCGCACCTATCGATCTGGGGTCCCTCACTTCCATGTAAACAGTACTTTATTCTCAGCGTTCTCTCTCTCTTGCCTGCGTCGCAGACGCTCTAAACCTTCTGTGTATAGCGTCTGCGAATTAGTGCACAATATCGTGTTCGAATCCCGCAGAGACGCAAGGACATATGTCGGCGTTTTTGATTGGCTAATTTCTTACACAGTTTGTGATTAGTCCGATTTGAATTAAGTGTTGACAGGCCAAACATGACTCATAGCTCGTGACAAGAGAGACTGAGCTCGTGATAGTGTGAAACGTGACCTTAGAGTAGTCAGTTTGAGCAACAGAGGTTTCTCTTGTCCTCTTTTTGCGTAGTTTATGCAGTGCGTGGAGTATTCTACACTTTGACTGAGCAATTTTTTTTCCGTTTTGAGTCTCACATTTAGAGGTTATGAAGCTGATTTGACCACAGATGCAATTTACCATTAAAACATTTTTCTCTTACCTCTGCTCAAACCAGATCCGCCACGTGAGTATTTATGTTCAGTTCAAAGCTCAACAGACAGAACGGCTGTACCGTTCTCGTCACCACAAAGTACAACTAAAGTTGCTCTTGTAAAAGCAACTAAGCACAAAGCCAACCCGGCAACTGATGAGGTTCGTGAGGAGAACCGAAACCATGGTCTTGCCTGATCACAAACTGTGGCAATAACAAAACAGTTGAAAGACTGTTA